AGACAAGCCACCCCAACAGTTGGCAGCACACAAGTGTCAGCCTTGGCAGGATAAATCTCCCCAGACTTACCCAATGGCTGTGAACATTCTAAACTAACACAAGTCTCATTAAGTGTCCAATTTAACACACCACAGGAACATGAATCAAATGTGTACTTTATTCATTTACAATAAATTCATAATGTACATATTTATGATTGAAGCTAAGGGCATACAACTGTCTAACAATTCCATGGTTATTTCTTGATATTATTTGCACCTTTATGTGATCTTGTTCTGATTTCTGATTATTTTATTGGTTGGGTAACTGTACTCCCCCCTCCTTTTTTTTCAGCATTTTTCCAGCCTGATATTATTTGCACCTTTACGTGATCTTGTTCTAGTTTCTATTTATTTTACTCCCCCCTCCTTTCCTTTCAGCATTTTTCCAGCCTGGTTTTCCTATTTATTCTGCCATGGCTGTACGGTTTCGAATGGGTCATCTCAAACCACTGGAAGCAGGAAGTGTTCACATGGATAGACTTGTGAAAAATCAAAGACCCGCTAGTAACAACTTTGTATGGACATATGTTTCACCAGAATTTCAAATGACTAGGTGAGTTGTGACATAGCTTTTGGTTGGTAATCTCGGATTAAAAACAAATGAACAATTTAACTATTCATTTTTTGGGAAAGGGCAAAAAGTTTATGTACCTGTTAATACTGTCATTAAAAAACCTGATTTATGTGCCTTATTTTTCTTTTTCATTGTTTATACATGTAGAAGTTGGACCAGCCAACTCAAATGGGTGCACATGATTGGCAAAACTGGGATTTTTATTGTGGATTTCATTTTTTTTAATTAAAAAACATGTTCATTTCTGTTCTAGCACATGCTGCAAATACTCCTATGACATGTAGGCTCAGTTTGGAAGGAGTACAAATACAAATATGTACAGTACAAATACATACAAACTACAAGGTTTTACACTCTACAAATTTGTATTTATACTCTTTCCAAACTGAGCCATAGCGAAGGTCCAATGGGATGTAAACTTGCATATAGAGAGTGAAATCATCAAGTTCCTTTTTCTCAGCTGAATTCCAGCTGGATGCAATTAGTAACTGTTGGTTCATCACTTATGTATCAAGTAAAACTGCTGAAAGAAATTTTATGTTAAACAGGAAAACTGCTTACAGAAGTTCAAGCTACCTGAGCCTGTTCTATGTATAGGTGGAATTTTGCAGATTGAGCTATTGGGCAGGGTTCAGAAACAAGATACGGATGGATTGTTCTATATATGGTCAGTCTCTTTCAGGCTCCATCTTTTATCTTTTGATTTTTACTGATGACTTGTACTCGCGTCTTTCCTTGGTTATTAGTTACTCCAGAATCTAAATGCCTATAGTCATTTTCTGTATGGAAAAGGTTGAACTTCAAAGTGTAATGCTATGTTAGATTAGTGTATTTTTCCCGAGTGAAAGCAAACTTTGTTTTATTGCAGTAAATCAGAATCAAAGTTTGTAATCTTAACACAGAACCTGGACTATACACCTTGATTAGGATGGATGGCTCTAGAACCCTTTAGTTGCAAAAAAGATACTATTGTATCAAGTCTGGTAATCACATTGAAATAACTGAAATGCTGAAATCTTCATTTAGGACTAGGAATCTGCCACAGAATTAATACAAGCAGCGATTTATTTATTTTCATAACGTAACCTCTTTCACCTCCAGCCTAGTTGGAATTGTATCAATTGGATGGGCATGATTGGTATTTTGATGTTAATTAGATTTAACAGGGAAAAATAGTGGGAATTTTGGGATTGAAGTCCAGGAGCACCTGGTGTGACTGTTAGATTTGTGTTAGGATCTCCTACCTACAAGAACTCTGCCCACACCTAGCCACACATCACTACAGCAGCACATTGAGAACATCTCATATATTTACATGTTACCATTCATGGGGAGATGTACCCAGTGCACAGCTGTAGTGTCCTGTGGGTAGGAGATCTGGATTGATTAGATTCATGGGAACATATCCATGTTTAACTTCTTTCGTTTTTTTGGATTGAATTGGTGCCATGCAGTGTCTCTCATGTTCAAGTTATCGGTTGCTCAGTCTCACCTGCATTTGATGTTGAAATTCTGGACCCATCCGGTAAGTGGTTGTTGAAGTACTACCCTGAGGCTTAGTACTGCATGTCTCTAGTAAGAGATCCTCTGGATATGAGCCCAGTACGCCTACTCATTCAACAGCCACAGAAAGGTTGATTCAGAGAGGTATCAGTAGTCGGGAGCTAATGATTCTGAATGCCCTTGCTTGGGAATATGGCAGCCTTCCTTGATAATGACTCAGATGAAGAGTTGTTTGACTGATGTGGATCGAAGTCATAGAACTTGTTATTTTGGTCTGACTTGGAGAACTTGAATAGCAGAAACTTGCTATTCGTTTTCGTTTGCTACTTGGGGATTTTTCGTAAGGGAAGGGGAAAGGGAAAGGAAACATGTTAGTTGAATGTAGTGTCATACAACTTATCTTTAGGAATTAAAGGTATATGTGCCAATGCATCAGCCGTGCTCTCATTTTTGGCTTCCTTGTATGTATGTTATAAAGTATGCGATATCTGCTGCCAAATCGACTGTCTTGAATTATAGTACTGGAACAATGACAGCGCAATATTGCACATTAATATAGTCCCAGACATCTGGTCTAGAAGCAATTTGACAAGAGAGATGTGCATCATTAATATAGTACCAGGGAGGCTGTGATTTTTGCTGAAGTGCATGCTCAAAGGACTTGAGTTGCAGGTAGGCGTGCAACTTGGGCGGGCCAACCCGAACCCAGATCAACCCAGTCCGTACTTTTACACAGGCTGGGCAAAACCCCATACCTGTTTATATTTTAAGTATTAAGTATCAATGGCTTGCTGACACAATACGGGGTTTCATGTTGATACTTCAAACCTTGTATATGCGTATACACATTTGCGTGCCGTGCATGCATATATGCATACATGTATATCAAATTTTAGTGTTAAGCTCGGATTTGATAATTTAGGTCATAGTTTTGAAAATCGGATTAAACCGGATGGTCAGATCGGTTGACCTGGGAACTGGTTAGGCAATCGGTTTCGTTTCATTATAACACCACTCTTGGATCAAACACCATTGATTTAATCAATGACTTTCTATCCTGGGTGGCCGAATTGTTGACCCATCGACCGACAACAGTTTTTGATTTTTTTTATTTTTTTTTTAATTAGAATGGGTTGTTTGTTTGAACTGGATGGTTGGACTGTTTGATCCAGGAATTGGTCCCCAAAACGATTCTGTGTTCCATCTGGTTTTTAAAACCTTGGCTTTAGTCTGATCTTGGGGTTGAACCATAGGCCTAATTCTAGCAGTTGGGCCCTAGTTGAATTAAAACCCAGCCCAGCCCACAGGAATTGCACCCCTAGCTACAAGGAGATGGTACTTGTTCTAGCATTCTAAAGCCAAGTTTGGGAGTACTTAAAAATAAGTGTTTATTCAAATAAGCACTTATTTTGGGTCGGGACCACACTGTTAAACACTTGCTGATGTATGGGTAATAAGCTCAAAATAAGTGCTTATTTTATAAATAAGTGTTTAAATAATAAATTCAAATTTTCAGCTTTTTTTTAAGTGCTTAAACAATAAGCACTTGTTCGAATTCTCTACCAAAACTGTCCCCATTTATTTTTAAAATTTTCAATTATGCACTTCAAAGGTAAAAACGTATGGTTTGACACACCAAGGCTTTCTTCTCCTTTGCCTTCTGCAATTGGGATAGCTTGCCGATTACTGCCCCAGCAGTCGTAATCTCCTATTTTAGTGTTACAAACTTCGACTCCAAGACAATAGAAAGACAAAACCAGGGCTCAAGCGACTGATATTGTAAATAGAGATATATCGTTCACCACTGCCATTTCACGAAATTGATGCTACTCGTCTCGACCATTTTGAATCGAAACTTTTGTCCCTTTGCCATTTTCAGGTTGTTTTTCTGAGTTTCTATGGCCAGAATTTCGATTAGTCTCGTAAGGTTGAAGTAGGATTGTTGATTGGAGAGCGAATGAGAGTCGACCTATATAATGATTTGGTCTGTGGTCGTTGTGGCAATAATTATCCTGTTTCAATGATGGTTGATTCCAGTTCCAGCTTGGACTGCATTCCGAATAGAAATGATGTCGGGTGCTTGTAGCATTGTAGAAACGGGGATGTTTCTGGGATCCTCGAGGGATGATGAGGGTTTTGATGAGCCACCACCCAAATTTCCAACTGCCCACCGTTCACATAAATTTGAAAAGCTTATGGTATATTTTAAAAATTAGAAATAAAAGACAAAAATTACAAATGCTTATTTTAAAAATAAGCACTTGAAAAAGCTGAATGTTGCCTGGCCTAAAAGCCTTCTCGCTTTTGCGATGAACGAGTGGACCATCCATCAAATTCAATGAGTTAAAATCAACTCAAACAGATGAAACAAAAAAAAAAGGTAAATTAGCAAAGCAAAAGATTATATACCATACCAAGCACCCGAACATTTCCGGCCACCCAGATGTAGACATGCACAAACTAAGAATGGACATTTGTGACTCCAGGTACAAACTAAAAGTTGGAAATGGAACTTGTATCACATCTATATATAACTAGAATTGTCAAGACCATGACAGTTTAGATTACACTCGTAAAATTAGAAGTGGCAAATTGCAAAACTGCCAACTCGGAAAAGCTTAATGACTGAAAAGTGAAAACCACGAGTGTGAAGAGTATTTCACAGGAAGGACAAACCCAAAGACTGTTAAAACCTGTTGAAAAAAACTACTGTACAAACTACATGCCAGGGCCACGCCACTTTCCCAAAGTTGGTCACAACAACAGCCAAATAAATAGCACAAACTTGGTCACAAATGAGTCACGCCTTCCAGTCATAACTCAGGTCCCCAGGATCATTGTTGAACATTCCATTTTCTGTGAAGTCATGAGATATATCCTGGACCATCTCAGGCAAATGAAGATTCTGTGGCAAATCTGTTACTCTTCCATTGAGGCTGTTGTTGCCACCAACCCCTGAAGAATTGCTGTTAGAAGGACCTTTGAAACTGTTGCTCCTGCTTGGTGCCGGCCCCATAAAGCAACTAGCCACATTGGTTGTAGTGGCCACAGCATTATTTCCAAACCCTAATCCACTTCCAACCATACCTGTAGACCCGGCTTTCACTGGCCCACCACCTATGGTTCCATTAACCCCATTGAAGATATCCTCTCCGATGCTCCTATTTCCACTCTGCCCGCTATTGCACTGTTGCTGTTGTTGCATGCCTCCCCCGCTATTACTCATCATCTCCTGCAGTAATTGTTGAATCATGTGATGCTGTATATTTTGGTTACCTTGAGAGGACTGTGGGTGGTTCTGTTGGAGTTGATTACTAACATTCAGCGAGTGTGATTGCTGCTGCTGGGGGCCTGACAAGCCATTAACTGGTCCATTTGGCATGGATCCTGGAATAAGAGACCCAGAACCTTGAAATTGAGAAGGCAGTGACTGGCTAGAACTGTTGAAGGAACACGAAGCCTCCTGTTGGAGCACATTAGAGTTGTTCATAGAATTCTGCCTCAGCAAATTCTGGTAATTGCTCAGTGCAACTGCAGCCTGTGCAGTGCCACTCAAAACTCCACTTCCAACCATGTGGTGGTTACTGCTCATCTGGTTGCTTAGGCCAGACTGAATTGCCACTAGCTTATTAAGGGTATTCCGATCGGTTGGAAGACCCTGAGCACTTGCTAGCTGCTCCATTTCCTGCATCTTCTGCATCTGGAGCTTGGCTGCAGATGGCTGTCGAGGATAATTTTTCAAGCTTTCTGCACATGAACGGAATTTTATCATGTTAAAACAATGAAATTTCTACAACAAACTAGATAACCTAGATGGTCATGAAATAAAAAAAAAAAAACAAACAAACAAATTGAAGAAAATACACAAGATCTTCTTGTAAGACCCATTATTCTTGTTCTTCCTCTTCCCTATTAAGTGATACAAAGGTGCAACATCTAATGAAATATTTGGATCCTTACATGCTTCCATCTAATAAAGATTTGGATTTAAATTGGGGTAGGATTTCACAAAACATTGCATCTAGGTTTCGCTTTAGGAGAATGAATTCAGAACCGCCATTTTTTGCCCTAAAAAGTTCCAAATAAGATCAAGTAAAAAATATAAATATTAAACATTGTTTAAAGAACTTTTCAAACGATAATAGATAATAGCAATATAGAAGAATTACAAATGAAAGTTACATAATAAATATATTAAACAAATATGTATACCTAAATAAATATATAAACAACTAAAATTCCAGCATAATATCTAAATTTTGGGGGAAAAAATCAACTCAGAATGAGATACCAAATTTTCATGCAACTAAGAACCTTGAGTGAAAAGCATTTAGAGCCCTAGCTTTACTACAGATTTGTTACCAATTAGTAAAATAGGAAAGTTGAGAACCATCAAAGCACATAATAAATGGACCAGTGAATTGCTTCAACTTAAAATGTAAGAACATCCTTTCCAGGTCATATCAAATGCAACAGATTCAAGGTCACAGAACTAAAAGTAAATACACCAATGGAACTGCATGCTCTCCATGGTATGACCAGTTGACCTCATGTACACCCTGCTCTGTAATGCCAACTATGTAATACCCAAAAAATGCCTTATTTTGTATTTGTAAAAAGGAGTTTAAAGAAAACAAGTATAATAAATAGTTAAAAAATATACTGTTGAGCCACATATGCAATACGGGTTAAAATTACACCATTAGATGGAAATTGCAGGAAAAAAACAACTGTTCATAACAAAATGCTTGCATACTTGAAAAATAGATTATGTTTAATGTTTAGAAAGAACAAGTGATTTACCAATAGGTCCGACATTGTGCTCCCGACTGAAATCTATCAAGTCTTTCATGCTATTTACAACTTCAGCAATCTGTAAATGAATAGAGTACATAAATGTGATTATGTCAAACAGAGAATCAATAAGTTCAGATCAAGTCTAAATCAAACAGGAAACATATGAAACACATTATGATGTACCTGCAGGCATCTAACATATCTTTTAGAAAATCCCAGGTCATTCAGTGCTTGCAAGTCCAAATTTCTTGCCAGCTGACGCCCAGCTGTCACAAACCTATTTAAAACATACATAAACAATCAGGTCAACACCCACAGTCGATTAAACTCAATGAACTGAAAAAGGAAATTCAGGAAAATTAATTTCAAGAATGGACCAGTGTACATATATGCAAACTAGGTGTATGAAATTTGAAGTATCATGCCTAAACTAATGCTCAAACCTTGGAGACAAATCAAGATCCAATTAAGGTGTCTTGAGGAGGGCAATAGCTTTGGCACACTTAACAAATGCAGTTATGAAATGGCTTAAGAGGTTCTTGGCCCTATCCCCCCCCCCGTGGGATTCCATGTTTACAGTCCACATAGCATGGTTTTCCCTTTGAGAGTTCAAAGTATCCCCAAATTGTGGCAATTGTTGTACAACTGTAAAAGATTTTTTAATCTAATGCTATTCAATATTTTACATTCAAAATATAAAATTCATACAATGATATTGATGTTTAAATTGTATTAGCATTTTTATTTATCTATCCAAAAGAATAGTACTACTTATTATTTATCGTCCATTAAATATGAGTCACATTTTAGCTGTTTTTAATAAAACCCTGAAAAAAGAAATTTGCTCAAATGTAAACACAGCTCCAACAGATAAAAAAAAAATCATGCAAGCAGGAATCCTGATACTGATTAAATACAATTAGAGCATATAATTTTTTTGGTAAAAATTAGAGCATATAATGAACCAGTCAAAATGGCAGGCAATCAACCATATTAACATGGAATTGTTAATTTAAATTCTATTTGTTACTTAAGTGAAAATATCCTAATTTAGTGATCTTGAAAATAAAACATGAGGATAACTAGCTCAGAATCACATGTTACACTTCTGTTTTTTTTAGATAAATAAAGAAAAAAATTATTAAGAAAGAAGAAAGATAGAAATACAAACAGTGATAAGAAATCACCACAAACAGAACAAAACAACACAACAACAAATCAAACCCAAACTAGAAAAACCTCGAGAACTCCATTCGCATAACCACAAGACGACCCAAAAATTGACATCCATCTCACCAACTAGATACCCACAGACCACTCAAACTGAACCTCCATCCCAAAATAAACAGAGCTCACTCACCCAAATCTACTACAGCAGCATTAGAATCCTCTTTCTTCTGATAGATAATAACTTAGGCCCTGTTTGGATAGACTTTTAAAAGTATGAAAAACAGGATATAGTGTTTGTTTCATATAATTTAAACTTTTGCTCTCGTACATTTTGAAAGTATGAAAAACACCAAAAGCACGAAGTTGGCTTTTCATACTTTGTGCTTTTGGCGAAATAGTTCTTCCATTCCGTGTAAATGGCGTTCACGTGTGACCACCCTCCGATAAAACTCTCGACCCTACCTCTGCTCGCCGCTGCTGGAGTCGGACTGTCGTTGCCAGTCTCAGACCACCAAACCACCAGAAACCATCACCAGAAGCACGAACAGGCATGCTTTTGCCAAACAGAAAATGGTACTTCTGCTTTGGAAAACATACTTTTCAAAATTTTTTACCCAAACGGTTTTCAAAGCAAAAATACCAAAATATCTTATGTACTTTATACTTTGGTATTTTTAAACGTATAAAAGTAGAAGTCTATCCAAACAGGGCCTTAATTTAGACCATCGAAAATAGGAAATGATGTTTGGTAAATAAAATGGGGACAGCATATTGCTTAGTTGACTCACATGTTGCAATTTGCTTGTAGATCCTGTGGTGAAACCCCAGCAGCTCCATTATCAGAAACAGAGGTTTGGTATTTCTGTGCAACCTGCACCAACTGGTTAACCTGCAAAGGGAAAAAATTAATGAATACAGGAAAAAACACATTCAAATTGTAAATTTATAATATCTCTATCATCTTTCCCTTTTCCTTTTTTATCGATATCTTTCAAATTTTATTAGATATAAATACATACATATATACAGAACCCTTTTAGAGATAAGGCCTCTTATCTCCTTCCCCCTTTCTCTCTCTTTCTTTACAATTGCACCCAGAACATTTGATATCTTCCTAACCCTTTTTTGCTAAGAAGTCGGTCATGTTATTAATTCCCCTTTGTATCCATTGATTTCTTACTTCCATATCTACAGTCAGCTACTTGAGTTTTTCTTTTTTTTGATGAATAGCTACTTGAGCTTTTTTAATTCATTCCTTTAGACCTGAAGAGAATTCTCCCTATTCTTCAACCTCCCTATTACCAACTATAAGTCTCCTTCAATAATCATTTTGTTGCCATTCACCTCTCTTGCTCTTTGTACACCCTCCACTACGGCCATTATCTCAGACTTCACTAATCTCCCTTGACATTCTATTTACCCCTTCTCCTTGCAAATTCATAAATACTATGTAAATTAATCCATTCAAACTACATGTAAGTCTCAGGAACATCCAGTGAGTATGGGACAGGTTTGATGGTGTTTCAAGAAATAATCCTGAGTGATGACAAATCAGTTGATGGTCAATGGGTGTCCCATGTGTGATTGGATCTAAGCAAACTAAACTTCTCCCGTATTGAAGGGTTTTTCCATTTCAGGCTTTCAGTCTTGTCCCATTTATCCCCTTATTAATAAATAGTTGCTTATTGCAAAACAAAATAAAAGACAACACAATGAATATACTCAACCAATGTGTTTCTAAAGAACAAGTTCACCACGTATAAGGATTAAGAAGCTCATTTGTGCGTAAGCCACAAGAAAATTTATAAATATCTACCAGGGAAAAAGCAAGAAAGCAATGTTTTGAAATTTTCAATCATATAGTAAATCATAGAGAAAGTTGAATTGAATTGAATCGTGAATTGGATTGTAAATGGTAAGGTTACTTATATTTTTCAAAGGAAAATCTCCAAAGCCACTTACCTAGAGTGATTGAGAGCATGGGGTGGATGGAAATGGTTGGGATGCAAAAGTTGCCCCTCATAGTACTTCAGCTTCTCCTTGGAAAGTAATTCATGTAATCTACCCTAGGTTCCTCAGCTCCATCCGATTCGATGTGGGACAAAGTAATAAAGTTCTGTTTTGGGAAGATCTTTAGGTAGGGGAAACCCCACTTAAAGACCAATTTTCTGATCTCTTTGTGCTTTCAAACCTCAAGGGGGAAATTGTATCCAATTTGGGAACACCGAACACCATGTCCAAATGGTGTGAACTGGAATTTGGGCTTCAGAAATGGATGAAGGGAAAATGAGCGAGTCTTTAATCCGATTGTCGGACCTACTAGGGCAAATCCACTTGGACCCATCACTGGAAGCTAAGTTTTGAAAATCGTAATTGTATCGTAAATCGTAAAGACAATTGAATCAAATCATAAATCGCAAGATTATTTCTATTTTTACAAACTTATCAAAAATTTAAATATAGATATATTAAAAGGTTAAATATATATAGCAAAGTGATTTTACCCTATTCTTAATTTATATATACCATATATTTACTTAAAACAATAGAATTTACCACTTATACAATAGAAGTCTAAGATGATATAATCACGTTTGACTTGAAAATCAAACAAATTTACATACAATGGCCCTTTCTTACATATCATAGTGAATCGTAAAATTCGTATAAATTGTAAATTCATTAATCAAATCATGAGATTTTGCAAAAAAGGATTCAAACATAAGATTTGAATGGAACCCTTGGGATTCATGATTCAAATCATAAATAGTAAGATTTTGACAACATTGGCTGGAAGACTCTAGAACTTGGGTACGCTCTTCAGATGGTCTATTCTCTTGCTCTTCTTTCTTTAGAGTACTTGCATCCCCCAACCCCCTAGTTGGGGGTTTCCCTGTGAAAGAAATCTGGTGCAAGTCTATTCTCCCAAAAATTCAAGCCTTCTGTTGTGAAATATTCCTTGGCAAGGTAAACACTTGTGATATGGTACAGAGAAGAAAGCCTTACACTTTCCTTTCTCCTCATGTGTGGTCTTTAAGGAAAGTGGTGAGACCCTATCTCATTTAATGATATCCAGTTCTTTTGTGCTTTGAATTTGGGAATTCTTTTGTATTCTCTTCGCCTGCAGGTAGGCTCCCCCTCAAGATGTGGTAGGACTTTTAAACATGTGATTAGGGAGCAATATGTTGGGTGGTGTGGGAAGAAAGGAATAACAAGATTTTCTTGGAAAAAAGCAAAACCATAGAGGAAGTGATTGACAACATCAAGGTGAAAGTAGCTGATTGGGTAAAATCCATGGGACAGCTTTCAAGTCTTCTCAATCACAGACATTTTAAGAACCTAGACTAAGTAGCACAGTCCTCAAGAGTGAGAGACAAAGTAAGGCTGGAGTGAAAACCACCAAAAAGCAATAAAATAAAACTGAATTTTGATGGGAGCTCCCTTGGAAATCTGGACTATCAAGTATAGGAGTAATCAGAAATTCTGAAAGGAGGATACTGGTTATGTTCTTAAGACTGATTGGCACGGGGAATTCGCTGAAGGCTGAACTTTTGGCATTGCTACAAGGTTTGAAGCTAGCTAAACAGATGGGATACGCCTTGAGGTGGAAGGGGATTCAACAGTGGTCATTTCCTGGGCTGCAAACAACAGCCATACGCCATGGACATTTAAACATGTGATTAGGGAAGTGGAAAAAATTGCAAAGGAGGTTGAGGCTGAATTTAAATGGGTCCAAAGGAGTGCAAATGGGCTAGTTGACTATCTAGCAAAACAAGGGGGAATGAGACAGCAATTATTTTGGGCTGCACTGTAATGAGGGACAGAAAAGAGTGTTTAAATGGGTTCATCATTCCCATCACCAAGTTGTATAAACTGTTTCCAATCTGAAATTTAAATAAAATACATGTTTACTGATCAAACAAAAAAGGTTACTTCTATTTTTTACAAGATTGTCGAAACATCGAATATAGATATAATAAAAGGATATATATATATATAGGAAAGTGGTTTTACCCTATTTTTAATCTATATCTACCATATATGTACCCAAAATAATAGAATTTACCACTTGAACAGTAGAAGCCTAAGATGATATTATCAAGTTTGACTTGAAAGTCAAATAACCCACACACAATGGCTCTTTAACCTACATATGATGGAAAATAAACTCGATGTTTGGTCTTAAATAGCAAATAAATAAATCATTTTCTAGTGAGAGCTTTAAAACAAGTCTCCTTTAACTGAAGTAATTATTAAAAAAATGACAACGTAGAGAACTGATTCTTAATTGAATTTCTTTGAATCAGTGAATGGCAAAAATCATAAATCGTCAGATTCAAACCAAAATTGTAAGATTTTTGCAGAAAAGGATTTACACATAAGATTCAAATCGAAACCCTTGAGATTTACAATTCAAATCATGAATTGTATTGTAAATCATAAGATTTTGACAACATTGCAAGAAAGACAAAAGAACAAGCAAGGATACCTGTGGTGCCACCAGTCTACGAGGCAAAAGTTCTTCATGGCGTCGTGCACAGAACTCCCAAGACAATATCTGTAACAAGGACAATAACCAATTATTTTAACAGAGTGAATAATAATCAATAGAAGCAAAATCACAATAAAGAGAAAGTTTGATAATAGTAAAGTGCATTGTCGTTTTCTTACCTTCAAATCAGGAGTGAACATGATACGAAGTTGTCCCTCACGAACAACACGCAATTGCTCATAAACACTCTCTTGAACTGCTTTTCCATATTCCAAAATCATTATTCCTGAAGGGAACCTACATTCACGTGGCAGGTCTACAAACAAAAGTTCCTCGATAACGCCACTGTCGAACTTTATTTTATTAAGCCTTGGGAGTACTTCATAAGTTGCCTCTGTCACATAAAGAAAAGATAAAAGATAAATAATGAAAGGGAAAATATCCTGTCAATAAATTGGATCAGTGAGGAATATTGTCAGTGCATTGCCACTAATTGAAATCATTTTTTTAATGAATGCCACTAATTGAAATCAATTGAGTCTTAGGTGGTGCAATTAGAACATAGAACTAAGGATAAATATACCAATGATGTACAAAGAATGCAGTTGCAATATGGAAGATGAAAATACATGAAAACAATAACTAATAAGGAAATCAAAACACCTGCATGTGGTTAGACCACAAGCCAAAAGATGACATAAGACCTGCCTAATTACCGGAATATAGTCTACAAAGCAATTGCTAGACTTTGCTTTTGCAGAGGTTAGATGTACTCACTGTAGTTTCTTAAAGTAAATGTCCTGGTACAGAACCTCAAGGAGTCAAGGTTCTAGCTGTACTTTTTTTTACTAGTATAGATTTGTATTCTGTTACTATATCACAGAAAATAGGAAACCTTGCAAACATGAGATTTTTACGATGTTAATGAGTTAGGTTAAAATCACGTATACCCCTTTACACATTAAAAGAGTTTTATACCAGCAAATATAAACCCCTTGAAACCTTCAAGAATCACAGACCAACAAGCCAAGGTTCTTTCAATTTTCCCAATAACAAAATCCACTGATGAGCCTTTGAGACCATGATCAGCTATGTATTTACTCAGATAATACTTTGCTGAGAATGGCTCAGTTTTGCACAGGTCCATGGAGACCCACTTACATATTAGTAGAAGGTCATCTCTACTAACAGTTGATGAGGTGAGGGAAGTGTCATGTTATGGATCCTCAGTAGTCCTGTTGAAAGAGAAAATTCCTCCAAACCAAAGGCAGCCGTCAACCTAACTGGAATCAAGTTGCCAATAGGCTACATCTTACCAATTTGTAAAATTGAAAATCAATCAATGGTATTAGATGGAACAAAGGGATTGGCAGGGTTCCATGGAGGCTTGTTCATGATTGGTCGAAATATGAGATTTTTTTTTTGAAATATGAGATATTATCTATTTCAGAACATATTTTATCAGTACAAAGAGATTTTGATCCCACCATAGAAAAATTAGAAAGATAAGCATGAGAAGGGTTTTCCTTTCTATGCAAAAGCAATATGCCCAGTTAACTTTTTGCAGATGAGCATTGTGGTTCTATATTGATATTTTTGGACATAGTTGTACCTCCTCTTGTACTCATTATATTTTTGCTTATTAAAATTTAATTGCACTCACCAAGAAAAACTGAAAACACTGTGCTGCCATTTTTTTAGTGGCACATTCATGTAACTAACAATATTTATGCTCTTATATCAGTTTCAACTTTCAAAGAAATTTTGAGCAACTCTGGATGAAATGGAGCAAACTCCTACATTGTCAAATTATTAATCTGTTAGCTATGCATTTATTTCTTGTCCACAAGGGAATTAGCTTTGCATCTAGTAATGTATCCTACAATTAAAATCATCTTCAAAATGTACAAATGTACCCTCAATAGTAACAGCATTATTGGGGCAACCATCACTAATGGTGTTCCATAGGGCACCAAGAAGAAAAAATCTCACTTTGGATCTTGCCAGGTATTTGGCCCCAACATAGGATGTAGGTAGTCAATTATAGCAACTCATTGTCTCATTTTGTTATTTTTCATTGTGCTATTTGCTTGAAAACAAGAATCAGAGAATAGCGTTATCAATGTGGTAAAGCAACGACTAGTGCTTTTGCCTCTCTGGTCGATGTGATGACTAGTTGGTGCCTAGGTGCTGACTACTCAATAAAAAAAGAATATGTTCTAAATTTAAGATGTTGATGCATCTCATAAGTTAATATAGGCTACAAGTAGATTTATGCAAGAAAAGAATAATATTAAACATGAGTTTACAATCTTTATTTAGCAAAGAAAGAAAGAATGCAACCTTGACTATTAGATGTGCCCTTTGTTTATGGAAACTCCATACCAACACATCACTGATTGGAAGAAAATTTAAAATAATTACTCCACAGCCTTCTTTTATTTTTATGCTATTTTTCCTATTCTATATACCATCAGCTAATCATATTCTATCACAAATATTTAATGGAACAGCATGAATATAACAAAACCCAAAAATATTCTATATTATTTCAAATAACTAGATATACAAACAAATAAATGAAGACTTAAAATGACTAAGTATTTGACCAGCTGTCAGTTGACTAGTCAACCTAGATGATGCTTAGCCGTTCTAAATGATTGCATCATAGTATTTGTTTAACGATGCACTTTCTGGCCCTCAACTGACTAGTTGATGGATTAGTCAACACTTTGGTAACACTGCAAAGAATAAGAAAAAGGCAGAAAAATGAATGATTCATCATCTTTTCTTCTTATCAGTACACACCATCAAGGACCACATCCCATGTAATCTCATTTATGTGTACATGTATATATGCCTGTCTGTTTATATAGAAATCACATGCACCCTACCAACCCCCCCCCCCTCCAACCGGAAAAAAAATGATGAAAGTCCATTGTTGAAAACCAGAGAAGTTAATTTTTTGAATTGGAAACAAAAGCTCTTTTAATAAAGGGGCCACTTAATTATTCATTGTTTTATTTGTTTGGATATAACATAATCAGAAAATAGGAAAGGGAATCAAAATAGAAGGCTCAGCATATTCATTTTCCCCTTTTCGTGTATTCTTGTTTTTCATTTTTTTCATCAGCTGTATTCTTGTTTTTCCTTTTTTTTCCTTCTCTTGTTTTCAATAGGCAAGTCATATATAGATTGTAGAAAGGAAAAAAAGGAGAATCTCCTTTATACAAAAGATTCATAGAGAATAAAGGTGGACACGGACCAAGCTTTTCACGAGCTATTCAGGCCCAACTCATGAAAAGCTCAATTTGGATTTGTCTAAACCGAGCTTCAAGAAACTCAAGTCAAATAATATAAGCTCATTTACTAATTATGCTAAGCTTGGGCCCAATGAAGCTCAGCTTGTGAATAGGGATGGCAATTTTCCTCATCCCCACCAGGTACCCGGCCTCCCCAACGCTACCAAGTCAGGGATGAAGATTGCCTTGGAAGGGCGGGAATGGGGATGGGGATTAATAGGGATCCCCGACCGGGGACAGGTAGTGAAGTCCTCACCCCGCCCTGACCCCGATTATATATAATGTATTTAAAATATTATTTATATTTTAATTTTTTTTCTTTATTTTAAGTAATTTATTTTCCAAAAATATTGTTAGTTAAAAATTTTGGGAGAATGACCAATCAGCCCAGATCAGAATTTTATAGCCCCATAGTACAGGGGGAATGCATCCTGACCGTGAATTGATGCCAAATTCACGGGCAGGATGTGGCTTATAGGGGGGAGAGGGCTAGTAGTAGGGGGGGGCTGGAATTCAGAATTATGCATCGGGTGTATCCGTACTCCGCCGAAAATTTTTTGGGGATTCAGGTACTCGCAAGGAATCCGTCTCTCTCGGGGATTGGGAATGGCTTTTCAATTTTGTAAATCAAAGGTATTTTGTTACAATATAGAATGCTCACTTCTTGCAGGATTTGAACAATAAACCAAAACGCTATTTAATATGTTTGAGTGGGGAAAAGGATTTCAATAAAGGAAGCCAAACCAGACATGGAAATGAATGGTTTCAGAATTTACTTATACATGGCATAAAATTTGAGACAAGAGTTTAGAATGTCTCCATTTAATTGGAACTTCAAGTTTTGACTAGCATCAGGTTTGTGCTAATTTGTAGCTTCAGACAAGGAAATGTGCATCCAAATAGCTAGAAAATATGATTCCCCAATTGAGAAGATTATGGATAAAGAAATCATAAAAGACATGGTTCCAAAAGTATATGCACTTGTAAACAAATACAATAAAGATCTACTTACCAAATCCTCTTCCTGATTTAGAATTGCAAATGTCACAATGCCATGCATCCTGAAACCAACAAGGAAAAAAAGAAACTTATCAGCTTTAAGTTTTAATCCAATCAAAACATGAACCAAGATGCAAAATAAGTGGTGAGTACAGGGATAGACAACATGATGCAGACAAAGACATTTATGCATGAGTCTAGAAGAGAAATAGCACATGCAATAAAATGGGTCATATCCACATTTTCATGTAAAAATATATTGCTAATATAAAAAATATGTTGTTAGCAAAATAACTGACCATAGCTGCCTGAGGAAAAACACCAAGGGCATGATGTCCAACATTATCATATAAAGACAGGCACCACCTTTTCTTAGCACGTGGAGAAAAATACTCTGCCACAAATTTCCTCCAATAGACTATGCTATTATCCTATCAAAAACAAAAGAAAATAAACAGTTGAGATTCACATATGTACTGATATATGAATTAGGCATCACCAAAAAGAAAGAAAGAAAGGAAATTATGAACATAACATACTAACCTAACATGATTTCAGAATACAACCTACTAAAAGCATCTACATGGAAAAGAAAACAGCAAAATAATAGAAACACAAGCACTGGCATCAACTCACAGGTGGGCGATGACGATGATGATACATGTACTGCATTAGCCGACGAGCACATACACCATTTTCATAGGGGCGCTTTATGGCAGAAAGTGGCTGCATTGCTTGTTGCTGTAGGTGGTGCCTTAGCTGTTGCTGCTGCTGCTGCTGCTGCAAATGGACTCGCTGCATTTGTGGCATAGACTGCAAAATCTGTTGTTGCTGCTGCTGGCGTAGTCTCTGCTGCTGAATCAATGCCTGTAACTGTGGGTTATGCCCTTGAAATTGCATTGAGTCCTGTCTCTGCAGTAGCTGCTGGATAAGCTGCTGCTGCAAAATGTCTTCCTGCCGGATGTCTAGTCGGGGCTTTTTTTGCATCTGGGTTAAACCATTTGGCTCCTGAGTTAGGGAGTTTGGGATGTGAGTACCAGTAGGAACAGAAGCTTGGCCTGTTTGTGATGTTGGCTGTGATGAAGCACTGGAGGTCCCCTGCTGCTGCTGCTGTCCTTGTTGTACTTGTTGGGAGCTATGGTCTTGATGAGAACTCTGCTGCACCATAGAGGATCCATCAATCACTGAAGAACCTGAAATGCTTATGTTATTGGATGAGAACGACATGGGTGATGCAGGTAACCGCATGTAAGATTCTGTATTGATGCTAGCACTTCTCTGTAAATGAGGACCTCCAGAAAGTGCTGAGTTAGCGTCTGTGACCAATGAACTTGCCCCAACACTCGGCCCTGAGTTTGCTGTGCTGTTCAATATCACCCTATTCATGTCTCCAGATGCCGGACATAAATTTGAACGCCCTGCTCCTGGAATAGAATTTGATGAGTTCCCAAAAGAAGAACTTAAGTGGGAGTGCACTGGGACCTGGGACTGCCCATCTCCTTGGAAAAAGATGCCAGAGCTTGAGGATGACTGCGCTGGTCCTCCAGCCACCCGAGTCGGAGCCACAGGGGGCACCACCGACTGGTGGCTGGAATCCAAGTAGCTATCCAGAGCTAGACCTAGAAGCCGTGTATATGAGAAAAAAGATCAACCGTGTTCACAAAGAAACCCCCATACAGGAAACCCTAATAACATCAACCGAATCCAATGCCAGCACAAGGACAAAGTGCTCCTACTCTTCCGAATAAATAGAGATGGAAAACCCACTTATCTTTTTGCTGGTGAACGGGATCACCAGGAGGAAAGCTTGAATCTTTAATCCCAACGATTATAGAATATCTTAAGAGTTAAATCTGTTAGAAAGATAATCAGTGTTAAGAATCTATGCTACTCTTTAAGATCATTCCAAAGCAACAATAACAGCAGAAACGACAACCGCAGAGAAAGGAAGAAGAACGAACTCGAAACTGCTTTGCTAGCAAAATGAATACAGATGAAAGAGGAAAAAGAGGAAAAGAAACCCTTCCTGTACAAACCTTGGCAATGCAAATGAAAACCCCAATTACTCCAACAAAAACCCTAATTTCTCTAATAGAATAGCTAACAGTGTAACCAAAAAGATATAATGAAACCCAAAATTTCTATACTGAAAGAGCTTGAAGACGACCGAAATAGACAGTTGTGATTGAATTTTGTCATCTTAAAATTTAAGACCCAGCTTCTTTAAGTAAAATAATTCAAAATTCCAAAAGAAATTACAACCCGGAAGTAATAAATAAGTCCCGCGTAGCGCGGAAACAAAAATTGGATAAGCCTGCATGAAATAAAACTCCGAAACCACCAAATTGAACACCAAGAACAAAAAAAAACAAAAAGATCAAAGTGACAAACGAACAAAAATATCAAAACGGCAAAATACAAAAACCATTCGTAATATTTCACTGTGAAACCGATTGATTCAAAGACATTTCAAAGTAAGAAAAAAGAAACACAAAATTCAAAAAGAAATTATAGAAAAAAAGAGACAAAAAAATATAATAACTAATTAATTAAAAGGTACTAACCCTGAACATCGAGCTGGACAAAACGATGGAGTCGTCTAGCTAAAATCTTCGGAACCTCCATCATCCCGGAGTTGGACGACGCTTATATATAGTTCGCTGGAATTGCAGAGAGTGACTGGCTGCACCGGTTGACAACCCTACCCGAACCGGCTGTCTCCGGTACGGCCGAGAGGATGCGTGGCAAGCATCGACAACACCAAAGTAGGTCTGCAGAGATCGCGCGGTAGCGACGCGAGCACGTCTCCACCGATAGTAACACGTGGACACATCGGATTGGTAGACTTCTTATTGAAGGCTCGAAGATACTGCTTGTGCCTGGGATAGAGTTTTTAGCTATATCGGGATATGAGCGACAGCAACGATGAGAAAAGGACCGTTGGATCTGCCACGCAGGATAGAAATGACGCATAATCGCAACAGAGAGAGAGAGAGAGAAACCCAAGTGCCCCTCGTGTGGCTCCTGAGCCCTGACTGCCAGATGTAAGAGCAGCTTCGTAATTATTTTATGATTATTTTTTTATATGTAATTTTTCAAGTATTTGATTTGATTATTATTTTCTGAATTCTGATTGACAAGAGCTGTTTTAATATGCTTTTATTTTATTTGTTTAAATGGTAGGGAGAGTGGGCCCATGAAGCCATCAAGGGCACAATTCCGCAATCATGTAAATCAGACGATAGACGTTAAAGTCGCCTTAGCTGTATTGTATGTGTGTATCGTATGGTTTCTTCTGGCTTTTCTGCGTGTGGCGCCTTGGATTTGTGGTTCTCTGTCTCTGCCTCTAGTGACTGGTCAGACGGGTTTCTTTTGCTATATATTAAACTAAAGCCAACTTTTGACTCCGTTGTCTCTGCCTCTAGTGACTCTGTCTCTGCCTCTATTTATCTACCTAATTACGGAGGCTAGAGATTAGACATGTAAAAATGGTCTAAATGGCTCATTTAACTTGTTACTTTGGGTTGGACGGTTCTGATTTAGGAGATTGGCCAAACCAATTATCAGCTTGAAACATGATAATAATTCCTTTTCTTTATTCGTCGATAGGGGGACCTACGTAATTAGTTTGTTGGATTGATCGTCAGACTGAATAAGCACACGTGGCAAAAATATTTACAAATTTACAATAAATCCGCATGTAACTTGTAGCCCAAAGCCGAACTAAGGTTCCATAGCCAATGATTAAAATATTCGATAATACAACTGGATACATCTACGTACTGATGCACCGATTCATATATATTTTAAAAGGTTTAAAACTATTTATAATCCTTATAAAATTAAAAAAAAAAAGTAAAAAAGGGAATATCGGTCATTATCGACATCTGACCTGTTCATGGGCCAGACCGGGCCGGGCTTTCACTCTGTATTAACAGATTTTTCTAAGGCCCGAGCTTGACCATCAAAGTCAGGCTTCGTTCACCTCTCGTTACACCCATACTAACTTGACCATCAAAGTCTCCGCCTCGGGCTAGCACTCAAGGCCTCTGACTTCTTCTCTCTCTTCATAGGTCTGACCTACCAGCCCTCGGTCACAGCAGACCTCAAACTCATCAATCAGCCCTCGATTTAGGAGTCTGCATTTCTATGCACCCATGGGTGCACTGGACGAGTGCACCCTCGAATGAGAGGCAAACATGTCATCTCATCCATCTTAACCACAAATTAACAAAGACTTTCTCCTGTTACCAATGGTTTGACTAGTTGAACCGACCACAAAACATGATTTAGCTTTCCCTTTCATTGGCAACCAACTAGGGATTCGAAGCACTCCCCCACAGTGAAAACGAAGGTCATCATCAACATAAGCGGATTCCGCCTTGAGAGAAAGAGATAGAGATGGCGGCCAATGTATGAAGCACAGATGGGCAAAAGATGAGAGAAATGCGTCAAGAGATGCAAAGGGTCAGTGAGATAGGCCATAATAGTAGAGAGGCTGAGAAGAGAGAGAGAGAGAGAGAGAGAGGGCATAAAGATAGGGGTGGGTTGGTTGACAGATGTTTGGTAAGTGGTGGCATCAAGATACTCATCTGATCTGACCAGTGGGACGGAGGAGGGTCGAAACTTGGCACTTCTCTACTTTGGTTTAAATGTGGCAGCGACAAACGAACAACGTCTGTCTGCACTGAACACCATGCCCATGGAGGAGGAGGAAGAGCAGATTCCCCCCATGGCTCATTCTTTGTATTTCCTGCACAGAACACCATGTCCATGGAGGAGGAGGAATGAACGACTTCTTTGTATTTTTCTGGTAAGTCTCCCAAGCCCATTTTACATTGCAGACTCCTCCATGGCTCATTCTTCTTCACTGGTAATAAGGTGAATGCCAAATCGTGCTCACTCTTCTTCGCTGAGTTTGTGGGGAAGGAGGAATTTCAGTGATGTAATTTCGTGTTTGGATGATCTAAGTTCTTGCCACAAACGCCAGCTGTGCAGTGGAACGACCGAACGGGTAGGGTTCAAATCATCTAGCCAACACAAGAAGAAGAGGAGAGAGAGGAAGAAGACATACGGACTAGAGGCCGGATGATTTATCCCTCACCACTGGTGGCTTCATCGTTCACAGGGGCGCCGATGAGCTTCTCACTGTTGGAGGTGTGGGAATTCAAATTCGTGTATAGGGAAAATGAAAGTTTTTGTCTTTTTGCATCCAATTGAACCGGACGGAATCAATTGATGGTCAAATCTACATTATTGTTACACAGTCAAGACTCATTCGACATGGACGAACGTGATTAGTGGGTGCACTCGTCCCATGCACCCACGGGTGCACAGAATGTGGTTTCTCGATTCAGGAGTGGATTTACCTTATTGCCCTTGGCCCATTCCAGATAGCAACATATCCAGTTTTGGCATTTACCCCTTTCATTATCTATATGTTTTTATCTTTGTCTTTAATAATACATAATTCTAATATTTGCCTTGGCTTTACATCCAAACCATCATTTTAATATTTTAATCCTTTTATTGTCTTTCTCTCTGCATTCTTATCATCTCTAGCTAGAATCATCTTGAATAATACTACTGGCGTTCGGCATCAATGTGTTTGGCAAACCTTCTGTTCCACCAAGAATCAGGAATGTTATCTAAGTGTTATTTTGAAAAGCACAAAAAATATGTTGACTAGGTGTTTAAAGTGCTTTTACTTTATATTTATAATATTTTCATTATGACAACCGTAAGAACATCTCAGAAAAAAGCTGTCAATCTTTTAAATTTTTATTGTGCCACACCTTTGATGATTTAAGATCATCAAAGTAATCAAAGAAAGAGTTTGGATATATGACTACAACACATTGCTGGCCACATTCACCCTGCCACACATATGGAACATCGGTTGTTTTATGGTCACCAATATGGCTGGATGAGCGTGGCCAGCAATGTGTTGTGATTAGCACATTTGAATTCTCAAGGAAATGTCAATTTGATTATTCAGGAAACCTCCCTTAGGAATCCCAAGACTATTCATTGTGATGGTTTTTTTCCCAAAAACGGCTTGCCATAGTGTTTTTGTTTTTTTCCTAACTTGATGGTTGACAAGCTTGTGAAATCATGGTTATAAATGGTTGGACTAGTTGACCCAAGGACCGGTAGTAGGTCTAGATTATTATAGACCCAAAACCATCTAACCCTAGTTTGGACTAGATAGTTGAACCATTTGACCCAAAAACTGGTGGCCAAAATGGTTTTGTTTCTGGTCCAATTTTAGAAACCATACTTGTGAAATGCATTGATGCCAAACACCCACTACATTGCTTTTATGCAAAAAATACAAAGTTATCTTCCCATTGATGAATGGTGATCATGAAAGAAGCAAATCCTTCTTATATTTTTAAATTTTTCTTTCTTTTTTTTTTGTGTAACCAACAATTATATTTCATCTATGCTCCAAAAGTCTTCTATATCTATGTAGTATCTTTTGCTTTTGCTTGTTAATTCAGTCTAAATGTAAAAGATGGTTGACCAGTTATGTGTCCAACATAAAACTAAATATGTACTATCATGCTTGGAGTTTGGGTCCCCTGCCTACAAGAACGTTGCCTACATCTACCCACATAACATCGCAGCCACACATGGAGAACATCTCATCCTCCTCCTACATAGTATTATGCACGAGAGATGTGCCCAATACACAGGAGTAGCGTGTTATGGGTAGACATAGGTAGAGTTCTTGTGGGCAGGAGATCCGGAGTCTCATGCTTGTAGTACCAACAACATTGACACTATTATTACCATTGTTTTCAAAACCGGACTGGGTCGGACGGTCGAACCAGAAAAACCAATAACTGGTCAGCCATCCAGGTCTGGTTTTATTAGAAACTGGAAAATTGAAAAAGGCGTTGAAAAGTAAAAAAACCGTTGACCCGGGCGGTCGGACCACTAAACCGTTCGACCTGGACAACGGTTCGCGGGTTAATATTTTTATTTTTAATGTTTTAAATAAAAAATACAAAAAATAAAATGGCAATTATATCCCATGATTTTCGAATCCCAATCCCAAATCCCTTATTTGGTTTAGCCTTTAGGGTTCCCAAATTCCCTTCTCACTCCTCAGTCCTCTCAAGTCTCAACCCTCACACCTTACCACATGTGGCGGCCATCAACTCCAGCATCCGACAACGACATACACCGACGGCAACCGACGAACTTGCAGCTGCGAAGAGAGTCACCCAAGCACTTGCAGCGAGCGACTTGCAGCAGCAGACGACGAGCGACTTGCAGCAGCGGACGACGAGTGACTTGCAGCGGCGGACGGTGAGTGACTTGCAGTAGCGACAACTTGCAGCGGTGGATGACGAGCGACTTGCAGTAGTGGACGGCGAGCGACTTGCAGTAGCGACGGACTGTCCGAGCCCACCGATGGCGAATCCCTGAAGGTATAATTTTTTTTTCTGATTTTTTTTTCTGATTTAATTGATTTTTTGAATCCTTTGGACTTGCTAGAGTGGTAATATATGTGCTTGTTTAGTAAGCATGAATTAATCTTTCTAGAGATTTTTTTTCTTTGGTAGGATTTCTAGAGACAACTTTAGATTGAAAGAAAATGACTCTAAAGGGGACACTTAACTCCTTAATCCTTATTTTTACTGATTGATG